ACTGCACAGTTTCCGACCACTGCCGGCCCAGAACAGCCTGGCCACGGCAGGAGCAGGTGTCTCAGGATCTTCAGAGACCTAGATCAGCAAACGGTGGCTTTTGCCCACGCAGAAACTCTCAGATATTCCTCACAAACTCTCAGTATTTAGAGTCTCAGTGTCCCCTCCCCAGGGTTACTTCCCCACATGTTCTTATTGATAAGCCCCCAGGGGTCCCTCAGCAGCCGAGCTGCTAAGTGCTTATCAAGGTCAAGTGATGAGATGACGTCACAACATACTTTATTCTTATATCAAAACAACTTTACTTCTAAAAACAACTTTTTTGGGTCTTTTGTCATAAAGAAGTGGATTAAGTCAACTTAAGTCACAAACAAGTGGATTCGAAACCATACCAAAACAATACACATGAAAATGACTATACTACCCAAAGCAATCTACAGATTCAATGCAATCCCTATCAAATTACCAATGTCATTTTTCACAGAACTAGAACCAAAAATTTTCAATTTGTATGGAAACACAAAAGACCCTGAATAGCCCAAGCAATTTGAGAAAGAAAAATGGAGCTGGAGGAATCAAACTCCTTGACTTCAGACTATACTACAAAGCTACAGTAATCAAGACGGCATAGTACTGGTACAAAAACAGAAATATAGATCAATGGAACAGGATAGAAAGCTCAGAGATAAACCCACACACATATGGTCACCTTATCTTTGACAAAGGAGGCAATAATATACAATGGAGAAAAGTCAGCCTCTTCAATAAGTGGTGCTGGGAAAACTGGACAGCTACACATAAAAGAATGAAATTAGAACACTCCCTAACACCATACACAAAAATAAACTCAAAATGGATTAGAGACCTAAATGTAAGGCCAGACACTATCAAACTCTTAGAGGAACACATAGGCAGAACACTCTATGACATTATTCACAGCAAGATCCTTTTTGACCCACCTCCTAGAGAAATGGAAATAAAAACAAAAATAAACAAATGGGACCTAATGAAACTTAAAAGCTTTTGCACAGCAAAGGAAACCATAAACAAGATGAAAAGACAACCCTCAGTATGGGAGAAAATATTTGCAAACAAAGCAATTGACAAAGGATTAATCTCCAAAATATATAAGCAGCTCATGCAGCCCAATATCAAAAAAACAAACAACCCAGTCCAAAAATGGGCAGAAGACCTAATAGACATTTCTCCAAAGAAGACATACAGATTGCCAACAAACACATGAAAAGATGCTCAACATCTCTAATCATTAGATCAAATCAAAACCACAATGAGATATCACCTCACACCAGTCAGAATGGCTATCATCAAAAACTCTACAAACAATAAATGCTGGAGAGGGTGTGGAGAAAAGGCAACCCTCCTGCACTGTTGGTGGGAATGTAAATTGATACAGCTACTAGGGAGAACAGTAAGGAGGTTCCTTAAATAACTAAAAATAGAACTACCATATGACCCAGCAATCCCACTACTGGGCATATACCCTGAGAAAACCATAATTCAAAAAGAGAAATGTACCACAATGTTCATTGCAGCACTATTTACAATAGCCAGGACATGGAAGCAACCTAAGTGTCCATCATCGGATGAATGGATAAAGAAGATGTGGCACATATATACAATGGAATATTACTCAGCCATAAAAAGGAATGAAATTGAGTTATTTGTAGTGAGGTGGATGGACCTAGAGTTTGTCATACAGAGTGAAGTAAATCAGAAAGAGAAAAACAAATATCATATGCTAACGCATATATAGGAATCTAGAAAAACAGTACTGATGAACCTAGTGGCAGGGCAGGAATAAAGACGCAGATGTAGAGAATGGACTTAAGGACACCGGGGTGGGGGGTGCTTCCCTGGTGGCGCAGTGGTTGGGAGTCCGCCTGCCAATGCGGGGGACACGGGTTCGTGCCCCGGTCCGGGAGGATCCCACATGCCGCAGAGCAGCTGGGCCCGTGAGCCATAGCCGCTGAGCCTGTGCGTCCAGGGCCTGTGCTCCGCAATGGGAGAGGCCACAGCAGTGAGAGGCCCGTGTACCAAAAAAAAAAGGACACCAGGGGGGTGGAAGGGGAGGCTGGGATAAAGTGAGAGAGTGGCATTGACATATATACACTACCAAATGTAAAACAGCTAGTGGGAAGCTGCTGCATAGCACAGGGAGATCAGCTTGGTGCTTTGTGACAACCTAGAGGGGTGGGATAGGGAGGGTGGGAGGGAGGCTCAAGAGGGAGGGGATATGGGGATATGTATATATGTATACATATCACTTTGTTGTACAGCAGAAACTAACACAACATTGTAAAGCAATTATACTCCAATAAAGGTGTAAGAAAAACAGAAAAACAATACACAACAGTGTCTTTCTGGCGGTCCAGTGGTTAGAACTCCGTGCTTCCACCATAGTGGGCATGGTTCGATCCCTGGTCAGGGAACTAAGATACCACATGCCACATGGCCAAAATGTAAAAAAACAAAAACAAACTCACAACAACAGTGTCTCTGTCCTGTAACTAGACTGAGTCCCCTCAGGTGAATTACAGTGTCCTATGTGTCCTGTTATCCCCAGCACTCTGGCAAGATGCCTAGAATATTTTGAGAAATGATAAGAAGGAAAGAAAGAAGGATCTCAGAGATAGTGAATGATATGGCCAAACAGCCAGCCTCCCCCGCCATGTCCACACACCGTCACCACCACCAGACACCAGTCCTGCTCCCACCTTCCCCCAGTGATTAATCTGTTTGGAGACTGAGGCCCTTCGCCCCAGACCCCCAGGCAGCAGCTCACACCAGTCAAAATGACAAGTGCGCTGGCATGTTCATCTGCAGATGCTGCTTCATCGTATCCACTTCAGAAGCAGGAAGGCACTCTCGGCTACCTCAGTGCTCCAGACCATCTGGTCAGGTGGCACAGCGCCCACTTACAAGGTCAGTTTCTTCCTGCCCGGAGCATTCCAGATTCTGCTGCAGAGTAAACTTCCTCTCTGAACCATCTTGGGGAATTCTTCAGACTCATCCTCAGTCCCTCCAACATCCACTTCTTTTTTATATATATATAAGTTTATTTATTTATTTATTTATTGGCTGTGTTGGGTCTTTGTTGCTGCGCGCAGGCTTTCTCTAGTTGCAGCGAGCGGGGTCTACTCGTTGCAGTGCACAGGCTTCTCACTGTGGTGGCTTCTCTTGTTGTGGAGCACGAGCTCTAGGCACACGGGCTTCAGTAGTTGTGGCACACAGGCTCAGTAGTTGTGGCTCGCAGACTCTAGAGCACAGGCTCAGCAGTTGTGGCACATGGGCTTAGTTGCTCCATGGCATGTGGGATCTTCCCGGCGCAGGGCCTGAACCCATGTCCCCTGCACAGGCAGGCGGATTCTTAACCACTGCACCAACAGGGAAGTCCTCATCATCCAGTTCTTATTTTAGTTCTTGGCTCGGTGGCAGGGACATTTCTCTGTGATCTTCTAACTGCCCCTGAGGACAATGGAATGGTCTGGGAGGACAAAGACAGCAGCACTCACTTCTGAGGCTCCTTTTCTGTGAGAAGCAGAGCACCAGTGAAGTGGCCAGCGTTCTGGGAGCTCAGGAATGTGCCCAGTTCGCTTTGTGGGCACTTTGATGCTAAATCCAACTTTTGCTTTAGAAGTGATAGTCATGAACTATGCCCCACATCTAAACAATGGTTCCCTTTGCATTCAAAAGAGATCTTTACCCCAATAGCTGAAACGGAGATGAGAGGAGAAGCCATGATATGCTTCCTGTTGGCACAATTTTGGGTTGGAGTTTGCCTGAAGATTCCTCTAAATATGTGGGGACTAAGGCCATCATGATGAAAAGCTGCTAACAGCACAGAGAGTGCTGAAGACAACCATGAACAGCCCTGTACAAATGATACACGTCCCGTGCCAAAATAAAAAGGAAAGCCACATGCACACGGAGCTCCTGGGGGCCAAAATGCAGAAGGAAGCCGGCTTCACATGCAACTGGCACCAACACTCTTACACCTGGTCAGTGCTACTGTCGAATACTTAATTTTCCTACAGGTAATTCCGTCTGTGTGGACAACTGAAGGCAAAAAACCCAAAACCAATCAAACAGAGCACATTCCCAAGCAAATCTATCAGAAGACTGTCTGAACATACATCTCTATCTCTGCTTTCTTTTCCTATATATTTGGGGAGGAAAAGGGAAGAAGAGATGGAGGGGAATAGAAAGGCAGCAGAAAGGCTCCCTTCTCTTTGAGGTCTCCCTTAACCACTACAACCCACGGTGACCTTTCCTTCCCCTCATACGTATAATAATTTGCATTTGACCATATCCCATACTGACGTGCATTATTAAATATGCACTCATGACCCAAGAACTCGTCTCCGCAATTATCTGCAAGGTCCTTGAGGACAAGGACCGCTTCTACTCCTCCACACTACCTATCACAGGGATTGAACCTAGCAGATGCTCAAAAGATTTAATTGCTCGGGCAATGCCACCAGCAAATAACCCCAAATCACAAAAAAAGATTTTATTATACGGTATTATGAAATTTTAGGAATAAATCTATCTCTGTGTTAATGTTTTATGCCTTGTATTCAGCAATTCCTGAGCACAAGTTCGCTGAGCTGAGCTGGGTGTTGGGAGACGGGCGCTGGGGAGTGGGGGGTGAATGTTAAAATGTATCATCAGGCCAACTAAAATATGCCCAAATGAGATTAAAGTAATTGGACTACTGAGTTTGCTTAAACGGTACCCGGTGTTTGCAAACTTCATTTAATCCCTAGAGCGGGAAGTGAGTCTCGGAGGGTCCTTACCTGCAAGCCTGCTCGCAGGTCCCCATCTCTGGGAAGTGGGCGCACGCTTGGCTAGCTCGCGCTGTGCGGTCACGGAGGCTCCTCACCACCAGGGGGAGCCGGGCCGCGCCGGGCCGCACCGGGCCACGGGGCGCGCGGCGCTCTCCCGACATGCCTCGCGCCCGCCGACCCGGAAGTGGTCGCCGGTGCCGGGCCGGACGGCCGCTTAGACAAGAGCCGGGCTGCGGAGCGCCGGTGTCCGGCGGTTCCAGCCCGGCGAGGAACCCTGTGAGGCCGCGGAGGAGACGCCGCTAAGTTCACTGCAGGTGGGACTCAGCGGGGCGGGGCGCAGCGCGAGCCGTTCCCGGGCGCCCCGGTCCTCGGCGTCCGTGAGTGTTCTGTGGGCCCATGGCCCTGCCCACCCTCTGAGGCCGCGGGCCGCCGCCCTGGCACCATGAAGGCCGAAGGGTTTTCCTCGAGGGCCGCGCCCCGGCCGGAGGGGGCTGCGGAGAGGCCGAGCCGCCGAGCCACCCCTGTCGCCGGACCCTGCCTGTAGGACGTCGGGGCCCGCCGCCCGGCTCTCGTGTCCGCGCCGCAGTAGGCGCCCCATCGCCGGCTGTGACATGGAGGAGGGGGCAGCTGGTCCGGGGAGCCCCCTCCCGCCCGCCATGAAGGCAGAGACCGCAACCGCGGCGCAGGAGCCCCCGGCCGGGCCCAGCGTCAGTCACCTGCTGAGTAGCCGGAAGCTGGTGGCCCTGGGGGCCGTGCTCGGCTGGCTTCTGGTCATCCACCTCCTGGTCAACGTGTGGCTCCTGTGCCTTCTGTCTGCGCTGCTGTTGGTGCTGGGAGGATGGCTGGGCGCCGACGCCATCGTGGGGCCTTCGGGTCGGCTGCACCTGGAGCGCTTCATCCCCATGGCTGTCTGCCCCCCAAACCCCGAGGCCGAGAGGCAGCTGGAGCAGGAGATCGACCGCACCATCCGGATGGTCATGCGGGACTTCGTGTCGTCCTGGTATCGCACGGTGAGCCAGGAGCCTGCCTTCGAGGAGGAAATGGAGGCAGCCATGCGAGGGTTGGTCCAGGAGCTCCGGAGGAGGATGGCCAGGGTGGACAGCCATGCTCTTGCCCAGAGGGTTCTCACTCTCTGTGGTTGTCACTTGCAGAGCTATCTTCAGGCAAAGGAGGCCACGACGGGGAAGCAGAGTGGCACAGCTGAGCCCTCCCAGCTCTGGGAGGCTTACTGCCAGGCCACCGCCCCACATCCTGCAGTACAGAGTCCCAGGGCTGAGGTCGCCTACACACGTGGCATTGTGAACGTGTTGCTTCAAGGCCTAGTGCCAAAGCCCCACTTGGAGACTCGGACCGGCCGCCATGTAGTGGTGGAACTCATTACTTGCAATGTCATGTTACCACTGATCAGCAAGCTCTCAGATCCGGACTGGATACACCTTGTGCTAGTGGGCATCTTTTCCAAGGCCAGAACTGGCCCAGCAGGAGTGGGTAAACCACTCTGCCCAGCCAGTGCCCTGGAACAGCCCTCAGTGCCCACATCTCTGCCACTGATTGTGGAGGTCCAGAGTCTAGCAGATGCGAGAGCCCCTTCTCCAGCCCCAGTGCTCCTAAACTATAGTGAGCCTTCACACCCCTCCCCAGAAGTTGAAGAAGGCCATGAAGCACTGGAGGGAGATTTGGGGGGAGTGCTAGAAGAGAGAGAAGTAGGAAACAACTCTTCTCACTTCCTGCAGCCTCTGTTCTTGTCCGAAGACGCAGAGCTGGAGTCTCCGTTGTCTGAACTGGGCAAAGAAACCATCATGCTCGTGAACCCAGGCACCTTCCTCTCTGCCAGGATTCAGGACTCCCTGTGTGCCCTAGGGGGTTCCCAGGCTCTGGAGTCTAAGGATGAAGAGGGATCTGAAGGAATTGAAGGGGCAGAAGCTGAGGAGGGTCCAGGAACAGAAACAGAGACTGGCCTGCTTGTCTCCATGCTGAATTCCTGCCCAGAGATCCAGATTGACACAGCAGACAAGGACGTAGAGCAGGGAGATGTCACCTCTGTTACAACTTTGCTGGCCAGTCCAGAAAGGATGTGTCCCCCACGACCCTCGTGCTTAGAGAAAGATCTCACCAATGGTGTGAGCTCCCTAGATCCTAGTCTCCCACAGGTACTGCTCTCCTCCTCTCCACCTGGTCCCCTCAGCTCAGCCACCTTCAGCTTTGAGCCCCTGAGCAGTCCAGATGGCCCCGTTATCATCCAGAACCTTCGTATTACCGGCACCATTACTGCTCGAGAGCACAGCGGCACCGGATTCCACCCATACACGCTCTACACGGTGAAGGTAACAGGGTTAGAACTGTGGTTGTCCACTCTGGTCTGGGAATGAGTCGGAAAGCAGAGTCAGTGAAGCTAGTGTTTTGAGAGGGAGAGGCTACTCTTACTTAGTTTGCTATGGTTAATTCAGCCAGCATCTGTATGTGAATGGTCTGAAGCTCATTTGTGAAGCAGAGTAGGCCTCTGTCTGATACCGTCACAAACAATCCTAGAATCTTGTATACTGAGAGTCATATTTTTCAGTGGTTCCCAATGGATACAGTCTTGTCCAGAGATTCTTTCCAAACTTCTTCCGTGCTAATTTCTTTCTTTTTTTAAGTACGGGTATCTTTCATACTTTTTGTTTTAGGAAGGGAGGTTATTTACCTACATATACATCGAAAGGTAGCAAGTTCTTCATTCCTAGAGATGTTTAAGAGCAGTAGTAGGAACTGCTTGGCAGAAATGATATGAAGGGGGTTCATGGATCAGGTGGCTGGTTCGATTAAAGCAGCAGTTCCCTAAAGCTGGTCTGGGGATAAGCTGCCTCCAAGTCAACTGGAGAGTTGTATTTTTAAAAAATACGAATCTTGGGGCCCATTCTTGGGAAATTCTCATTCAGAATCCGTCAACGCCTATCAGAATCCATATTCTGACAGCAGAGTTTGTAGCCCAAGTGATTTTGAGGTGCAGCCAAGCTTGGGACCGTGTCAGTATCAAATAGTGTCCCTCAAGGAGCAGACTGTTCCACAGAGAGCATCATAACTCCCAGGTGCTCCAAGTCTGAGCGCTCTAACCTGAATTCCACCTGCATGTCTTACCTAGACCCTTCCTTCTCAGTACTGGTCTCAGGGACTACTTTGCTCATTTCAGCTCATAAGGAATACCTCTCTCTGCCTCTAGAAAAATTTTAAACACCAGCCTCAAGTCCCACCAACACGGAGATCGCTTCTTCCATCACTTGCCACAGTATAATACCTTAACCAAACAATAACAGTAACCTACTCTTAATGAGAACAAGCACATATATTGTTCTTGCACAGAATTTATTATATCTTAACTACTCTGTCAAAAAGTCTCCCCCTGTGGTATGAAGTTGCAGCTTTCATGCTGTTCAGGGTGCTCGCTCTGGGGGAACTTTCAGCACCGTTGTCATTTCCCACATACCAGCTCTCCAAGCCTATGAAGGCAGCAGACTCTGACCCCTTAAAACATCTCTAGTCTCCACATGACTTCTCATCATACAGATGACCTGTGCTCGGGAAGAAAAATTCAGCGTCACTCCCAAGAATGATAATTAATTTGCCCAAAGCAAAACAAAAACACATGTTCCTTTAATGCATTCCAGGCAAACAAATGATTTTTCTTCATCAGCTGTTTTGGATTATTTTTTCTTCCCCCAACTAATACAGATAATCACTGCTTGTGTGTAATGACAAGATGGTTATCCCCTTATAACATCCAACCCCATAATTAGGGATGAAAGAGGCAGTGTCATTTTTATCAGTGTTGTACCTTCTTTTTTATCCTGTGTCTTTGGGATTTGAAAAGAGTTATAAGTAAAGAGAGTGTTTGCAGGGAGAGCTTTGAGATGCAAGAAGGAGTGGAGGGCAGTAAAACTCATTTTTCACTTCCTAGGCCACGTCTGTTGGGAAATGCATGTCGTTCCGTAATTCACTCAGTTTGAGTTACTCATTACAACTTAGAGCAACAGTCAGATCTAATACGTTCAGGAACAGAATAGGAGCATCTTGCTCCCTTTACCCCTACTCTACTCTTATTGTGTGGCCAGTAAGCTGATGCAGTAAACAAATTTGTTCACCCGGCAGTATGAGACCGCCCTTGACTGCGAGAGCAGCAGTGGCCTGCAGCAGCTAGCCTACCACACCGTGAACCGCCGTTACCGAGAGTTCCTGAATCTGCAGACCCGTCTGGAGGAGAAATCCGATCTACGAAAGTTCATCAAAAGTCAGGAGTTACCCCAGCCCCAGAATGCCTGTTTGCTGTTCACATCCAGCCACCCTGATCTGAGAGGCTGGAGGCCTGTTGGTTTGTGGGGAGGGTGGAGGGGGAGAGTGCAGCCTCAGGGATCCTGTGCTCCCCCAGTTTGCTTTTGGGTATTTTGGGTTTTAGTGCTGGACGGTGCTAATGACATTCTTTCCGAGGTGCTTCTTTGCCACCGATTGCTTTGTTCTGGGGCCCCCCTCTAGTTTAAGCTTAGGAAGGAAACTTCCACAGTCCACCTGTGCCTGTGAGGTAGTGTGAGGTGTTAAATTAACTTTTCCAAATTCATAGGTCGATTGTGCTTAGATATTAAAATATCATCTAGAAATCCTTGCCAGCTTTCCTTTAACAACAGGCTTTTTGGTGTGCTGTTTGGTACTTGTGAGGCACAGGAACAATAAGAAAACATAAAATTTTACTCGAAAAATAAGCTAGTAAGCAGCTACTTTGTTTTTTAAAAAAATGCCAGCGATCACTCAAACATTTTAATAAGTTTTGGCATAAATTGTGTATTTCAGTTGCACATTTTCTTTCTTAATAACAATAATTGATACCGAGAATATATGCCCAGTTCTCTACTAAGCACTTTATACTTATTAGCTCTTTTAGTTCTCATAACAGTCTTATAAGATAGATACTATCATTATCCCCATTTTACAGAAAAGAAACAAAGAAAGATTAAGCAAGTTGCCTAAGATCATTATTATAGTAGGGCTTGGAGCCAAAATTTAAACTTCCGGGCCCTTATTCATAACCACTATAGTGTTTGGCCTCTTATACCTTAATATTATCATTAATAAGGAAAGTAGGTTGTCTGTATTATATCCCTGGGGTATATTTGGAACTCCTGAAGTAAAAATAATCTGAAGGAGGGGCGGACCCGGGGAGGGACTCTGAAGGGATGAGCCCCAGGCCTTGGGACCCAGCCCCCTCGCCAGCCTCGGGCCGCCTCTCAGCTCCAGCTGGCAGGTGAGGGAACACAAATCCCCGGGAAATGCATTCAACAATTCTATTTCCTTTACACACAGGACGCTTTTTATATGGAATGGCTCATAATGAATGTTAATGAATTAACTTCGGGTTTTTTTTTAAGATGTGAAGGGTCCTAAGAAGCTCTTTCCAGATCTTCCATTTGGAAACATGGATAGTGACAGAGTGGAAGCCCGCAAGAGCCTCTTGGAATCATTCCTGAAGGTCAGCACCCTCTGCTCTCGTTCCAGCCACCAGGCAGACACCCAAGCCAAGGTGGAGAGAGCTGGGGACCAGAATTTCTCTTTGAAGTCCTTTTGTCTCTTGCAGCAACTCTGTGCCATTCCTGAGATCGCTAACAGTGAGGAGATGCAGGAGTTCCTTGCTCTGAACACAGATGCTCGTATTGCCTTTGTCAAGAAACCGTTCATGGTCTCCAGAATAGACAAGGTACGAGCAGGGCCGCCGTGCTCAACCTTAGTTTCTCATCAGTGTGGAGGCGGGGGTGGGAGACGCAGCACCCAGCAGTAAGTGGAACACGCACTGGGATTTTCAAGACCTGTTGCCAGTATTGGTTAGGTCGTCTACTTGCCGGACAACAGTGAACAGCTAATGAGGATACGATACCCCGCCACAGTCGGTGTACACACGTCTCCCAGGGATGTCATGGCGTTGCGATTCCAGGGGAGGCATGTAAGGGTGCTTCTGCATCTCCACAGATAGGTGGGGCAGCAAGGTCTCTCCCGGAGACGAAGGTCATTCCCAGGGTCGGTCACTCAGGAAAGAGCCCTAAGACAGGACACCGAGCTGGACTTAGGTTTGTGTAGTGATTCTCTGCTGGAGAACAGAGTGTGAGAGAACTGTACCTTCTTCGAGATGGTAACTCAGAACCTTTGGAGACGGTAGGAGAAGGACATTTGAGCACCACACTGGAGCCTGTGAGCAGAGGTTGCCAACTGATTTTAGCACCTCCAGGGCAGAAGGCTGAGGTTTCTGCTTATCAAAAAATGCTTATGTTTTAAGAGGTTAGAAAACACTGACTTTTGTGGCAGAAGAGGCCACTCCCTCTTCTCATCTAGACTTCAGGGGATAAAGTGATACAGTGGAACTTCATGTGGTGGGAGTTAGGAGACATTCACTGCTGTGAGGAAAAATCTGCAAATCAGAAAGGGATAGACGAGGTAAAATCCCCAGAGTTCCCTGCAGGTGTGTTCCTCCATGCTGACGTGTTCCTTCATTGATTTTTTCAACATCTGCCCCCTGCATGCCTACTTAAAGCCACGTACTGTATGCGTTGCTGATGATACAGGAGTGAACAAGACAGATATGCACCCTCACCGCAGACTACCGTCCTGTGAGCCGAGAGAGCGAGTTGTATTTTCTCAGCTACGTTATCCGCATTCATGCAGTTCTCTGTGTTCTTGCCCTGGGTTGCTGTCCCCCGGTCTTTACTGTGGTCCTGCTTGACCATTTCAGCCTTGCCTCGGCTGTGCTGGCTGTGCTCGTGGAGGACTAGCACAGAAGAAAGTCAAGCAGGTGCTGTGCTGCTCTGAGCCAGCAGTGTTCATTAATGAGCCAGAGGCACCAAAGGAAAAGTAAACGTCTCCTTCCATTTGGATATTTTAGGGTTTCATTTGTTTGTTCTTTTTTCTTTTTAGCAAATGTCTGTATGTCATTTTCCCATTCTGAGAAATAGAAATAATTTTTAATCTTCAGTGAGGATTGTTTCATTTCGTCCTTATGAGTAGAGAAGTTTATATCAATTCCAGATTCCTTAACTTTAACCTGAGTGGTTTTTGTTATTCTTTCTCTAGTTAAAGAAGAGAAATTGTTCGAATTAACTGAAAAATCAGATTTTTTACTCTGTGTGAATTGCTCTGAGCATTTTTATATCACATATGTTTCTAGAGGGTATTTCTTAATCTTTATCACTCTTTCTTTCCTCCATATATTCCTGTCTGTATTCCTTCCACTTAGTCACATCTTGGTGAAAGTATTATCAGTTTGGAAATGAAAAATCATTCTTCTGTATGAGGACTTCCCTGGTGGGTCAGTGGTTGAGAATCCACCTGCCATTGCAGGGGACACAGGTTCCAGCCCTGGTCTGGGAAGATCCCACATGCCGGGGAGCAACTAATCCCGTGTGCCACAACTACTGAGCCTCCGCTCTAGAGCCCGCGAGCCACAACTACTGAACCCTCGTGCTGCAACTGCTGAAGCCTGCATGCCTAGAGCCCGTGCTCTGCGACAAGAGAAGCCACCACAATGAGAAGCCCGCGCACCACAACGAAGAGTAGCCCCTGCTTGCCGCAACTAGAGAAAGCCCACACGCAGCAACAAAGACCCAACGTGGCAAAAAAAAAAAAAATTCTTCTGTATGAAAAGAAAAAAATTGAAAATGAAAAGTATTTCACCAGCCTGTAGAATTTCCAGATTATTATTTATCCCATTGTTTTGGCTTCTTTTCCCATGACATTGTTTGTCTTAACTCTGTGAGGAAGAAGATTTTTATGGCCAGAGAGAAAAGGGGAGAGAGTTTCCACTAAGTCATTAGCTAGTGTCTGTGTGGATAGATAAGGCTCTGCTAGATAGGCCAGCCGTCTACTTGTCCTGGGTGCAGAAAGCACCTTTGTGGTTTCTGTCTGACCCTGCATCTCTGACCCCTGCAGGTGGTGGTGAGCGCTATCGTGGACACCTTGAAGACAGCATTTCCTCGCTCTGAGCCCCAGAGCCCCACAGAGGAGCTGAGTGAGGCCGAGACAGAAAGCAAGCCCCAGCCAGAAGGCAAGAAGGCTACCAAGTGAGAAACCATTCCCAGTTCTCAGGTTAATCCCCAGTTTTCAGCCAAAGCCCATTCCCACACTTAGGCCCTAGAAGAGAGGAGATGGGTCATACCTACCAATTTTTATACAAAGCCAGACCACAGACTGAGCCTGAGATCCTGCACAGGCACACTTGCTGAATGTTTGTCTTGCCATGAGAACCCAGGGCCCCAACTGACCAGAGAATTTTGATTAGAAGGAAAATTCTGGAATATGGATATTCTCCTTTTTTATTCCCCTGGAAAATTGAGATGTTTCTTTCCCTTTAAGAATTAAGGCTTATGACTGATCTCTGTTTGTCATCGTTTCTGGAAATCTTGGCTCAGAAGTTGAGTGTACTAGCAGTAAACAGAAATGGGCTAGAATGGACACCTACAGGGCCAATTTTAGTCACTGGCTATTGCTGCTACTCTGTCCTGCACTAGGGCCCCAGGTGCTCTCTGGCAGCACTCAGAGCCAGCATGTAGAAAGGAAGGGCACCACACTTTCCTTCCTGGACACTTCGTATCTGTATCTGGGCCATTACGAAGGGAGAGAGAGAATGGGGGATGGGGGGTTGTAGAATGTGTGTGTGTGTGTCTGTCTGTCATGTGTCATGTTTCATGGGCCAGCAATAACACTCACAATTCTTAGCCTTTTTTTTTTACTGGGCCCATTTTTGAAGGGTAACCATGGTGCCTGTGCTTATAAGAACGCTGTTCCTTGAAACATTGAGGTTAGCACTTGTGGTTCTTTCCCTGGTTTTATTTGGAACACAAGGGGAATAGTGGATGTGCAGAAAGGTGTGAACAACAAGGACAACCTTGGTCCGTGCCACTTGTCTGTTTAATCTTCAACACATTTTTAATGAGTGCATAGTATGTGCTAGCCACTCTTCTAGCCTATGGGAATACAACCGTGACTGACTGGTCCTTATTTTACATTAGCAAAAGTCCTTTCACAAATGCAGGGTAGGCATAGCTTAGTGCAAGTGTTGCACTGTATATTAAGAATTGCAAGAATATATATTGTTTGGGGGTTTTCAGGGCTAGGTCTCTCTGACCCTGAACCATAGTAAGCTCCTAAGAATAAGTATGGGTGTTCTTGTCTTGAGGTATTAATACCTGTCAGCCCTTTTGTATGGGGATCAAGACCATGAATTACATACTGTTTCTGCTCTTCGTTTCTGTACCAGGTCCAGACTGAGGTTCTCATCCAGTAAAATTGCTCCAGCACTGAATATAACTGAGACACACGAGAAGATTCTCTATTGTCTCCGGGAAGGCAGTGTGGTAAGAAGTCCCTGGAGAATTCTTGGACTTAATAGCTGGGATGTTGCATCTGCAGTTATAGGCAGCTGAGACAGTCTCCAAAATCAGAAAGGACTTAGGTGCCTTCCTAAAGGACTTAACCAACATCTGGGTCTCTGATTTTTATTCTAGGAGTATTTTCTCAGAGTGGTTTGGAATTCCTACTAGTTCTGGGTTGGCAGGTTGGCTTCTCAAGAGTTGTGGGCTTGGACTAATGGATGAGAGAATGAGAAAGCCAGTTCCTGGAAGAAAACCCAAAGTTTTTGTGGCAAGTGAGACTACAGAGGCATGGTTTTCCTTGCAATTTAGGTTAAAAAAAAAAAACTTAGGTGGTCACAGAGTCAGTGGGTCCTCTACTTATGACACTTGCAGGGAAGGAACAGAGGAACCACAAGTGCTGCAGTTGGCCTGATGCTTTCTGCATTCTTCATGTGACATGCCACTGGCTCTTTCTTCAGGAGTCAGAGATCCTCTCCATGTCTGGGATGGAATCCTTTATTGAAAAGCAGACAAAGTTACTAGAAACGCAGCCAGCAGAAGCCCCAGGAAAAGATTCTGAACAAATCTCCAAGGGATGTGTGGATGACTGCATGTCAGGTGCAGCCGTGCCAGCCCAAGACCTCAGCAACAGTGATCCAGGTAAGTGACAGAGAAGGGAGCCAGGGTACAGTCCACCTGGGACCTGGGACTGTTGGGATTCATTGCTTCAGTTTCTCATCTGTTCAGCTAAGCAAGCCAGGTGTTAAACACTAATGTTTGAGGTACTCTGCTGGGATACGGAGAGGAATACGACACAGTCCCAGAGCTGAGTCGAGCAGAGGAGCGTGGCTCGTAAACGGGGAGTTCCAGCAAGATAAGATCTACGGTTATAATACCATCATTATTTATTTTTGGCATGCTTTGGCATATCTTTGGGCGACTCCCTTTATTTAGAAATTTTCTTCCCTTGATGTCTGTGGTGCCACTTCCCTGGTTCTCTTTCTGCCCCTCTTGTGGCCCTGCCTCAGTCCCCTTTACTGGCTCCTCAGCCTTCCAGAGCTTTATTTTTGGCTCTCTGTTCTTACTCTGCGCATTCCTGGGTGATCTCATCTGTTGGTTGGTTTCAGCCCTAACACATATGCTGGTGATGCCTCAATACTGGAGGTGTATTTCCAACTGCCTACTGGAAGTCTGCACGTAGATGTACTATAGGGCAGCTGAAATACAGCATTCGCAGAATGGAATTTACCTTTTCCCCTGGATCTGTTCCTTCTGGTTTACTTACTGCTGTGGCAAATGACACCACCAAGTTACCCAAGGTAGAGCAGAGAGGAAGAGGTGAGGACACCACTCTCGCCTCGTAAGCATTTGAGGCAGGGCAGGTTTACTTCCCAGCAGTGCAGATGTTTTCTACAGAGGAAAAATTGGGAGCCCTGGATATTAGTAGGTTTGCAGAACTAGAACTTTTTATAAGAAGAAAGTTTTTCAAATCCCCCAAAACAAAGGCTCCCGCTGAAAATAAATGATCACAAAATCTTGGGTTCAGAAAAGGAAAAAGGACTGATTTCACCATTGTTTCTCAGGTGCCCACAGTCACCTGACCTCTGCTCTACGGACCTCAGCTTAACTCTGTGAAAAATGGAGTTTACAACCCCATCTCTGTTCACAGAGCTTACATCTCACTGGTTAAGTAAATGAAGTGTTACGACAGCAGAATCATCAGAGAGCTCTAAGAAATTATAAATAAGATGGGATGGGTAAAATAATATAATTCTAGCCAAAATCAAGTCTTTAAATTTTGAACGTTATATCTCTAAAGGGATAATTTATGCCTGAGCCCTTCTACCAGCCCTGAGAGACTCAACATGCTCACGTGGTAGATAATTTACCACTTTTATCAAGAGGACCTGGTGCCTTGTTTGCTTTCGCTTATTTTTTACTGCTATGACTAATTGTCACCACGTGATGGCAGCTCTGGGTAAATGCTAAACCTGAGAAAATGATAGAATTGAAGAGGGTGAATAAGGAATGCTATTTTCCAAGGAACTGAATATCCCATTTTGAGCAAATGACTAGAAAGCAGACACATCAGCTCCCATGCCCCCTTGAAATACAGTACAGAAAAAAGAAAATGTATACTGGATGGGATTAAGAAGAAAGTAAGGTTCAGTTCTAGCAGATTTATCCAAATTTGAAATCATTCATGTTCTAAAGAACCCTTAAGCAAGGAATGCTGGGGCAAGCTGGTGCAGAGAATACCCTTTGGTCCTAGGCTAATAAAATGATTGTTGGTGATTAATTATAACATTAATCACAGCTGTAGCTGTGGTTATAGCTGAGGTTTATTCAGGAACAGTATGTATTTCTGGGGCAGTTTCCTGTGAAGCAAATCAGAAGTGACATGGGACCCCATGAACAGGGTTAGGGAACAGCGCTTGCATCCATAAAATACATCTATTTAAGAGAGTTCAGCTCAGCACGGGTATGAGCGTATTTGTGGTCCTTCCAGTCTTTGAAACAGGAAAGAAATGAGTAATTGTCATAGCATTTTACCAAAGGTATAGTGTTTTGCCTACAACCACATATTATCTCAAAATGGAACTGAAGTCTCCTGGATCCTAACCCATCAGCTCTGTGTAATGGAGATGCTTTCAAAGCAACTTTTTTTACAGAAATGTGAATCCCAGATCTGCTCACAACATTTCCTTGCTACTTTGTGGAGGCTGGTGGAATACAAGGATGGAAGGGAGTGGACCTTGCCGGTTCCCGTTAGTCACCAGTTGTGAGCACTTCCTTGGAACAAAATGTATTCAGCTTCCTGGGGGAAGTACAAAAGAAACAGAAGCTAGGGAGGCAAAATAATTATATGGAAAATCTTTTTAAAGATAAACAATACTTACTAAGTGACTAAGGAACATAAAAGAATTGTAAAGAAATACAGAGCCTGTTACTGAACTTGGTAGAAATGAAGTAAACATCTCTTGAAAACAGATAGATTACAAAAATTTAAGACGACTGATATAAAGATGGAGAAGACCCAGTGCACTGAAATGTGTTCCTCAAGTATGGGTCTCTTCTGAGTTACTCTTGATGCCTTTTCATTCCCCAGGAACAGAGACAGAGTTGGCTGACACAGCCCTGGATCTGCTTCTCTTGCTGCTGATGGAACAGTGGAGATGGCTATGTACGGAGAACGTGCAGAAAGTTATTCATCTCATCTTTGGGACCCTGATTCAGAGGTAGGACTGCTTCACATTAGAGTCTCAGGTTGGACAGGGGTTGGATGTGATGCCCAATTCTCCACTAGAAAGGGAAAGTATAGAGTCCAGGAAACCTGTGGCCATAAGAGAAGATAAAATCTCTGTTCTAGGGGTACAGGGATGAAGAGTGCCTGGAGAGTATCACCTTGTTGTCTAAAGTGTGAATGGGTCTGCTTCTTCTGTAAGACTTCTGACATCATCCACTGAATGACAGGCACTACCTGTGATCTCAGATACTTCAGCTGAACTCTTCCTCCTCTAGGATCAGTTCTCCACCCAGTTTTACCCCCGGGCCCTATACCTTCCACCTTGTTACAGTGGATGTGTCTCTTAACTAACAGTGTATAGTCACTGTGACGATAAGCAACAGGAAAGACAAGGAGAAAACTGGTCAGTGCTCAAAATAAAGATTATTTTCTCCGGGAGGGGTGTACATATTCACTACTGAAGAAGCACTTACTGACACAGGATGGTAAGGAATAGAAAGATACTTGGATTTAAAACTTAGATTTTATAATTCAGGCTTTGTTATCCCAACACCACTTGAATCTCCTGAAAGATTTGTACATAGATGGAGTTTTTAGCTACTGACTTCCTAACCATGAAACTGATGCAAGCTTTGCTGAACTGAAGGCCAGAGACACTGTCTCTGAACCAGACAGACACAATAGTGCTTGAGCTTTGGCCACTGTTGCGTGAGACATCCTGGCAGATCCCAGAGTAAGAAGAAGCCAAATCCTGAACTCTTCTGTTAGCATGTGGCTCATGCTAATAGGCCACTCAGAAAATAAAAATAAAAACTTAAGAATTATGTATCTATCCTGCAACAAGTAGGAAATCCATTAACAACAAGCAGTTAAATTGCCCCTTCCACACTTAAAGTTACATAGGATCAGGGAGTCTTAATAAGGTTTCATCATTAGGAAACTAAGTGAAAGAAGAGGATGCACGTTTATATTTGCTGAGTGTTTATCATTTCCAGCACCTGACCTCTGTTGGCATATATTTTCTTACAGCAACCAAGTGAGGTAGGTAGCCCCATTTCACAGAATAAGAAAGTAGAGCTTGGCAAGGTCAGGCAACATACCCAAGGTCATAGTAAATGACACAGTGGAATTTGAAACTGGATGTGCACAACTCCAAAGCCAACGTGCTTCTTCCTACGTATCGCAGCCTGAAGACTGGTCTCCGTGTGAAGCCCACGTATAAAATGCTGACTGGTCTCTGTGCCTCGCTTTCACCCTTGTCCCTCCTCCATACTCAGCTCTGCCTCAAGGCTGCTTTTTCTGAAAAGCAAATACGAACATATATCCTGCACTTAATATCCATCAGGGTGCTCTGTTGCCTACAAGAGTGATTTTCCCAACATGCTTTCCAGAGTTCTAGGGTTCCACAGAGGCGCTTCAGAAGCCAACTTGGAAGCCACGGGGAAAACCGAGTGGACCATTTCGATCAGTTAAATAGACTGGGGGTCTAGATAAGGTTTTGTTTGAAAAAGGGCTCCACTGTGTTTAAAATATATATTCATTTATTGTAGTAAAATTCCAACTCCTTTCTTGTGTGATCTGGTCCCAGCCTCACTTCAGTTCTCCCCATGCACGCCACCCACCGTGGCCTCAGTGCTCTGTGGATGCTCTTCCTTCAGGCCTCTCTTCATCCTCTGGTCTCTGCCTGATTGTCTTCTCTACTCGTTCTTTTCCTGCTCTCTCCCTGTGTCCTGAACTTCCCGTCTTCTTGTCTTCTTGGCCTACTGCTAAATATTTTTTAAAAATTAACATTCAGTGTCATTTATTCTGTGAAACTTTTTATGGCATCCTCTCCCATTTTCCCCTGGATCTAAGGAGTCTTCTTCTCTAGTCAAAGTTTTGATAATAATACTTAACACAGTATATTAGAGAAATGGTCTACTTTCCCAAAACTAGTGAACCACCCAGCGTATCAGTTTTCCCCCACGGTATTTGGCAATATCTGGAAATATTTTTGGTTGTCACAATTGGGAAGGGAGGCAGGATGTGACTAGAGGCCAGGGATGCTGCTAAACATCCTGCATCCAGGAGAGCACCCTCTCCACCCCAAGCAACAATGAATTATCCTACGCTGAATAGGATGTATCTACACCTCAGTAGTGCAGAGGTTGAGAAACCTTGCCCTAGACCAGTGGTTCTTTAAGGGCCAGAACTGGCTTATGTCCCCAGCAGCTTCCACAGGGCCTGGGACATAGAAGATGCTCATTAAATATTGGACAAAAGAATAAACATTTCCCTTCTCAATACCTTTATACTGGAAAGTAGAGTCTTCGTATGTTTTGTTCAGTCATGTGTGAATGTTGCTGATTGAGGCTTCATTTCTCTTCCTTTGTTAGGCTTATCTTTGCTCACCTTCCCCCAAAATGGGAACATCCTAAACGAGCTAGTGTGTCGTCGTCGACTCCCCACCTCCTGAAGTCATTTACATGATAAATTGGTTTCAGAACACAAGAAATTACTCAGTAGTAACAGAAAAGTACAGATGAATCTGGAGAAATTCAAAAAGGATTGAGATTCATATATAAAAAAGGTAGGAAGGTTACCTGAAGTTTGAATGACCCAGAATATTAAAGAGCTTGGGCCAGAAAGGAGAGAGAAGTGTATTTGGGGAATTACAGGAAGGTCATTGAAGAATTGGTATTTTATGTAGCTAGGGAGCTTTAATACAAGAATTAAATCCGGGGGAATTGCAGGCTGTGAGAATTCCAGGCCGGGCTGCATTACCTCAGTGGGCGATGATCATAAATTGCCTCGTGATAGGGAGGAGACAGTAAGGTGGAGGGTGGGGTGTGAAGTAAATAGACGGTGCTCCCTGGTGTAAGTACTGACTTGACCCGACCATAGACATGGGTAAGCCTGCATTGTGGCAAACATCCCACTTTACCTTAAAATACTCCTCTCTCTCTCCAGCTGGGTGATTGTTTTGGTCTTATTCCTTTATTCACTGAAAAAATATTAAGAGCTGGTCAGTATAAGACATGATCCCTACTTTTACATATTTTACGGTTTAGCAGGGGTGAGAACTGAGGACCTTATCCGTGATCACAAAATGAATGCTTGGTGAGGGTAGAAATCAAACCCAGGTATTCCAAAGCCCAGGTTCTTATCCACTCCAGTATACTACGACTCTGCTGTCTTTAATCTCTCTGGGCTTCGGAACAGTAATGATGTCTATCAGTAGATATCTAGGTGCATAGAACATGTCCAGTAAATGTTAGCTCTTCATATTTGCGCTTCAGGAAAAGGAAAGAAGGGTAAAAAGTGCATTCTGTTTCTGATTCCTCCAGCTAGTGGCCCCAAAGTCTCTCCCCTGTTCAGGATGCCCCACCCAGATCAGTCTCCTTCTGCAGCATCCACTGCTCCTACTGTGCCTGTCTCTGCGATTGCACAGAACCCCTGTTCTTCTAAACAGGACCGCGTGTGAGGCCTTTCAAGGTGACTTTATACCAATGCACTCACTTGCAAAGGCGACAACCAGAGCATCCCTGCATCTGACAGCAGGCGGCAGACCACCTGGTCTCCCTGCAGCACAGACAAGCACAGGTTCTGTACAGGGTGCAGGTTTACTGGTGCTGCTGGAATCAAGTCGCACCTTTCCTCACGAGAAGAACTTGGAGTCAGGCTAAGTTCCTCCCCTTTCCGTCCCCATACCCTGACAGTTCCACTGGAACCACACCTGGTTAGCTGGGTAGATGGCTGTCTGGTGAAGGTAGCTTATGCCATAAACAAAATCAGGGAGAGGGCTTGTGGCTGAATTTCCCTTGACTTTCTTCTCTTTTCACTTTTTTTTTTAATTGGGCGGCATCTTTTTTTGTTGTTAAAGGGAGAAAATTCTGAATGTTTATAGTGAATTTGAATGAAGCCAAAATGAATACTGTGCAAGAACAGAATTTTGGGGCTAGTTACTTTTGGAAAACTCTGTAACTGTGGTCTGTTCACCTCTGTTCATCCTAGGTATTTCCAAGTGAAGATGTTTTGTACTTGTTGACTTGCCCCATATTTCTTCCTGTCAGAAAGTTCTTATAGCTAATAAAACTTTATTCTTAAGTCCATTTTGTTTTGTATGAGCAGCAACAGAAATAGGAACACAGCTGTTGACACCCTCCTTGCCCTGAGCCTCTACAAACTAGAATTAAATGAAGAGTCTCACTCCTCCCTGTTCAAGGCCTTTCACCTTTCTCTATAAATCATTACTCCCAGCCTTTTTAATGATATACTTGGCCCTCTTCTCAACTATCTTGTGCTGGGTTCGCATTGTTCTTGAAGCTTCCTTAAGATAGCAGTCAAGAAGTCATGGACATCGGAGAAGGAATCCCAGTGCCCCCTCCAGAGGCTCAGAGGATCTGATGCCTGTGGCCCATGGTCTACACCAGCAAGTTCCATGTGCATGGTACACATGGAAAAGACAGGTCTTAGTTCAGGGTTCAGAGTGTAGACATTAGTAGTCTTATCAGCTGCAGGATTTACCATGCAGCAAGCTTTTGTTGAGAGTTTACTTTGTGCAGACACTGTGCTGAGCACTACAAGCATATCACTGAATGCCCTCAAAAGCCGCGTGAAAGACCCATTGTGATCCCATCTCAGAGATGCGAAGGCTCACAAAGAACTGTGCTTGCTCACTCAAGATCACAGAGCTAATAAGTATACGACAGGCAGTCTGAACCCAGGTTTGTCTGATGTTCAGCTATAGTGACTGTCTCTCAGGATCACATGTTTGCCCTATGATTTGAAAGGATAAAAGCCAGCCCCAAAATCTTTGACTCAAAGCAGTATACATTCCCCAAGAGGAGACTGCCAGTCAGTTTGTAAAACAAAAACTGCATTTCTACATACGCCCACTCACATATAACACAGAGTACTCTGCAGCACCCTAAAGTCAGCCCATGTTACTTGTTCCCTGGGCAGCTTGCATTTTTATTTTTAAAAAGAGGTTCATGCAGGGAACATTCTTGG